GAGAGCGCCTTTTCTTCCGACTTGCGTAACAAAAATCAATATATAAGGTTAGCTGATAGTTATATGCTAGATAGCCTATACTATTCCTCATGAATCTGGCTATTATATGCAAAAATTTTAAATTTCAACTGGTAGGTCCAGAGATTAGCGTTTTAAAACAAACAAAAAAAAACAAACAAAATAACTCTTTCGCTTTAATTTATTAGTATAGATTAAATGATTTTGTTTTCTTGTTTCTGCTTCCGATTCTGTTTTAAAAATATTAAAGGTAATAATTATATAAAAAATAAAGCAGCCATTATATACTCCCTGTTCTCGTTGTTTATTTTACCAGCAAAACATTTTATAAAATATAAATAGGTACATAGATACTTAATTAAGTATCTACCTATTTATATTTGATTAACATTATGTTGAAAAATAAATAAATTCCGGGGAAATTGTAAATGGCATTAAATATTTTTCTCCAGAGGTCAAAAATATAACTTTCCGATCTGATTGTTGGAGAAAATTGTTTCATTTTATCGGTAGAGTTACCTCGCCTCTTCAAATATTATTGCAATTTTGTACATTTTGAATTAAAGTCCAACAAAAGGCAAGTGGTGCCGGTGAAAGAATTTCCACTTCCCAATATCGTCCCATGTGTATCATAAAAGGTGACAAAGGGAAACTGAAAGAGGCGACGGGCAGCAGCATTTTCCTGATAACAACTTGAAATAATAAAAAACTATGGTTGACAACCCGCTGCCCCAGCGACGGTAAATATCCCCCCTATGAGGCAATCTATAGGGAGGCCCATGTTGAGCAGTGGATATTTATAGGCTGTAATGGATTATGGATGATGGAAAAGGCAGGTGGGTGCAGCTTATTCCCAGTAACATGTTATTTGAATATTTTTAGTTATATTAAAACTATCATGGCAAAAATTTAGTTAATTTTTAATAAAATAGTTTAGTGCACAAAAGTTGTTCAGTTCTGTGCACTAAACTATTTTTTTAGTCTTTAAACCGGTTTCTGAACAAAAATTTTTCGATAGCTCGTAAAATGTACATCACTAGCCAACTCACACAATAATAAATCAAAATTGGTCACGCGTTTTCGGGCTGTCAGGTCGTCTATACGCCAGTATATCCTAAGTCTATGTGTCAGCCTTTGTTTAAATCTTTGAACATTTTGACACTTCCTTGTCTATATATTTTTGAAGCGGCAAAATTTGTAAAGAACAATATGAATTGTTTTACACAAGCCAAAGACGTGTACAAACGAAGCACCAGAAATAGGAATGGGTTGGTTTCCGCTATAATTCCTAAGAGTGCGAGATTACATAAAAATTGCTATAATTAGATGTGTATGACAATATATAATAAGATACCACAAGTAACTCGAGACCTACCTTTCATTCAATTTAAAAGAGATTTATACAGAGTGAAAATACTTTACGCTGTACAGGAATATTTGAACTACGATAGGTAATAGGATACACATTAAACATTAACACACAAGGATTAAACATTTCATAATTGGTCCATTAAATTTGTTTGTCACGTACAAACAAATTTAATGGACCAATTATGAAATGTTTATTAATTATTACTTATTTATTGACTACCTGTTTACATTTTGTTATAGACACTACTCTTAAATATTATTATCCCGATATTTTATAGTTCTAAAGATTTGCATGCTATTAATAATGATTGATTAAGCGGATGTTTAATTACATTTACCATCTTCAATGTACCTTAACCAAATGCAAATAATTAAATATTTCATTTCATTTCAAAAATATTAATAAGTTCAACAATCATTTATCTTTCTGACAATGTGCTTTTTAAAGCTTTTTAAAGCACATTGTCAGAAAGATAAATGATTGTTGAACTTATTAATTTTTTTTTTAAATCGATTAATTGCTATTGTAGTGGCTTATGGTGTGGATTTATCAAGTGCGCAAGGCTTGTAAACACGATAACTTTTGAAAATATCAATTGTTTAACTCAATATATTTTTAAAACTCTTCATCTATCATGTGGGAAGCCATTGAATGTAAATGGCAGTTTAATTTTGTTTAGCTTGGTTATAATAAATTTTTTTCGGCTGCGAAATGGCGAAAATTCGGTGTATTCGCCAGCCTTGTATGAATAAATTATTACTAAATAGAGACTGCGTCTAGTTAGTTCGGCGTCAGTCGCCGTCTTGAATGGATATTGTTACGGTTGCTTGCAGCGGCTCAAAAAGATCGCTGTAATTTGTACACACAATATTCGAATAACTAAATTTCTTATATACTTGATTATAATAATAGAGATTTTTTTATTACAATAATTTAAAAGCACAGAATAAATAATAGTAGTTCGTACTAAAAGTAAGTAGTATCAATTTTTTCGTCATGGGTGTCATTTTCATGGGTTTCGAGGGTGATGAAGCCGATAGTGCTGTCGAAATTTAAATCCAAGGTAGCGGCTGCAATAGGTATCAATTTTTTCATCATGGGTGTCATTTTCATGGGTTTCGAGGGTGTTGAAGCCGATAGTGCTGTCGAAATGTAAAAAATCCAAGATGGCGGCTGCAATAGGTATCAATTTTTTCATCATGGGTGTCATTTTCATGGGTTTCGAGGGTGTTGAAGCCGATAGGGTTGTCGAAATGTAAATCCAAGATGGCGGCTGCAATAGGTATCAATTTTTCATCATGGGTGTTATTTTCATGGTTTTCGAGTGTGTTGAAGCCGATAGTGCTGTCGAAATGTATTTAAACTACTTTTAAAATTCCGTATAATCATGTTATACATAATTTTTTTAATGCGCTTAGGACATGCCCAATTGGATTTACCAATATTATCTTTCAAAAATTATAAAGGAATTAAGCATAGTTTCTATTTTCTCGAAAGTATATTAGTTTAGTTTGTCTATTCTTATTTCCAAATTCTATGTATGGATCAAGGAATCATACTAGATTTAAAAAAAAATAGAAGTACCGGTTTCGGCCAAAAACCTTAGTGTATGGGTAACTTGGATAAAATTAAAAATGATATTTAAAAATGAAAACAATTTTAGGAGGCTTGTCAATCCAAATGTTAGAACTGGGAAGTTATTGATGTATAATATGAAATAAAAATATTTAATTTAGTTTTTTTATAGAATAAGGGTGACAAACAAGCACACAGTCCACCTGATGATAAGTGGTTGCTGCGGCCCATAGACATCTACATCTATTTTCGTTTGCGAATTAAAATGCAGATGCGTTGTCAGCCGTGAGGTGTAAGGAAGAATGTCTCTTTTCCAGTAATAAGGGTCTCCGGTTCTCTACATTCACCATACGAAACACAGCAGCATTAAGCTACTATTTCACGCTGGTATTCTGTAAGAGCGTGGTCCTTCCCCGGTAGAGCCGACCCATTCGTGCTACAACTATACTATTAATATAGCTGCAGCATGTCTCTACCACGTAATTGTGTTTATTACAAAAATCTAAACCTAGTACTGCTATCATAGATGTGCCAGAAGGTTCTATCTGTGATTTTGCGGCAGAGTGTTATAAAATTGTAGCACTCTGGCCGTAGCTCGCAATAAGCGTTCCCATATTGAAAACTTGATTGGATCGAGGACGGCTTCTCGGAGTTGCGGAGCTTGACGCGATTCTACGGAGGTCAGATTCAGTCCTTCGGTAGGTTTTGAATACGTAGATGTGGACTTCTTAACTGTCGTTTTGTCGTTGACAGGCATCTTTTTTCTTCCAGAGGTGTGTATTCTGGGTCACATTCCTGTCTTCTAACTTTCGGGGGCTTTTGTTTAGCGTGTTCACAGCTTTATTGTCTTCAGCCTTCCTCTCTGCATTGGACTGTGCTCTTCTCGGGATGATTCTAATGGCAAGTATTCTTTTGGTTCATCAGCTCTTTGATTGTGTGGATGCGCTGATGCAGGGCTTTGGTTTGTGATCCTAGTTCGGTGAGCGAGGTGATTGGCTGGTGCGGCGGACCTCTGCGGACTTGAGTGGCTATTAGAAGTCTCCAATTGTCCTGTCCTATCAGGATCCTTGGGTTGTCGGGAGTCATATGCCAGCTCCTCCTTTAGGTCTTCTAAGCGATTGCTATGTCTGCTGAACACACAGTCTGTGGCCTCGAGTTCAGGCTTTTGACCGTGCGTGCTCTGAACGGCACCTTTCTGTTGTGGAGACTTTTCAGCGTAACTTAGACTCTTCGGGACCCTGGTGAAACGAGGATGTTCCCGATAGCGGTGATCTTGAAGGGGTCCAACCGCCCTGTAGCTCCAATCTGTTCAGCAATCTCTTCATCCATTAATGAGACGTTGACCCATCGTGCAGCAGGGCGTGTGTGTTTACACCTACCGCCGGTCCAATTACTCATACTGGAATTATTTTTAGGTAGGCTTGATGCTTTGACACAGCGAATGAGTTGGCCACGGTTTCTTGTGGTTCTCTTTCTATAACCTCTGTTTTCTCCTTTTTATCATAGTGGAGAAGTCGGTTGTGTGTCGCGGTGCATCCTTCTATTCTACACTTGATGGTTTTGCATCTATGTGTTTGATCTCTTGGTTCTATAACGTATCGGGCTCTGATTGGTCGACTTTTTGTTTGTACAAAAAGTTGAAGTAATAGGTATGTTACGTAGTACATAATAACTGAATGGTACAAATAAGAGTTATTTTCCCAACTATTACAAAAGGATGCTCTATACTATAATAATATATTAATACTAAGGGTTGTAAACATGTAAAATTAAACTAAACTAAATTAAACTATTGCACCTTTCATTTAGGTTTGTCACTAATACTTTTCCTAATTACACTTTTAATATTGTTTATTAACCACTATGTTTGAATCACTTTTTACCGCCGCGAACAATAGATAAAGTCACAATAGTTTAAATGGCTTCTCAAATTATATTTATAGATAATATTTTCCCTGAATTTTCGAAGAATTTAAAATATTAGAAATTAGCGCCATCTTTTCCATAGTCGTAGAATTACATAAAACATACTCACTGCGCATGGATTGCCAGTAAGCTGTAGTGAAATGAGATTTGGCAACGTTGTAAGAGCATTTAGTGTCGGCACTAAATCACAGATGTCGTTATCAGACAAGTCCAAAATAGTAATACTGCTGGGCAATTTACTGAACCCTTCGACACCTTCTGTTCAGAAAATATTTTTAAAAGTTAAAAGAGTTCTTATAGCGTAGCGTATTTTTCCTCATAATATTGTTACACCAAAACGAAATGTATTAAAAAAATTACACAAAGTATATTTACCTAACATATTTTTTGCTAATCCTAAATATTGTAGACAAAAAGGTAAATCCGTAGTAGCAAGGTCGTCTACAGTTTTGATGAAATTGCTTTGTAACTCAAGAACCTTTATTCCACGTGGTATGTTGCTAGCATCTATTTTACCGAGGAAGTTCCCACACAAATTAAGCCGGACAAGTTTTTGAAATCCAGTTAGACCTTTGTCTAATTTAGTCATCTAAAACACAAATTTTGTGAACAAATATGTTTAAAGAATCTTCAGTACAAATATCACTATTACGTTAACGTACTTTAGAGTCGTTTACCCTTAAAACAGTGACCTTTTTGAATTCCTGTTTTAAAATCTTTCGATCACCAAGGCGGACAGCTTTTTTAATTAAGTTTAATATATCATCAGTAATACAGATAAAATTACGAAAGCATACTCTGCTTTGCTCATTAGCGAATTTTTCATTATCCCATATTGTGATGGGTAATATCAATTCCCATTGATCTTTAAGACTGATAGTAGAATTTTTATCGAAAAAGCTATGTAAAATACTTTTGCTAATTTTGGTATCCAATGATTGTGTAAAAGGGACTTGCGTTAAATGCTTATTATAATTTTGCTTGTGATGACGTGCCGCTTCCTCTTCAAGAGTCCAATCCACGCCACTTTCTATTCTTTCTTGATAACCTTTAAAACAGATAAATTGAAGATATAGAGTATGTACAAATATATTTTCAATTGTTCTCAAGCTCAAAAACTTCACAGCTTATTTGATGGAAAATGTGAAAAAAAAAGTTGTATCACTCAACCATACATTTTCTTTAATATTTTTGATTTATAACCTGGTTTAATGTTTTATATATCCCGACAAATAAGGACAATAGATATGTAATATTTTAAAACATAATCTCAATTTTACGGTTTTAATTGAACTTCGTAAAATATAGAATCTTATAGAATGTTTTATTTTCATCCAAATAAACTATAGTTTTGACTAATGTGACACTTGCTAAAAATATTTGAATATCTTTGAATAGGAGCAAGATAGTCTTGGTAATACCTTCTATGGCTTCATTAGGAACAAAGTTTAAACTTGCATTGCTTATTTCCGGCCTTGTTACTGGTGGTAATGTTTTCTTTGCCGTTTCTTTAGGTTTAGGTGGCATAGTGGTGGCCTAAATTTAACTTAAAAATGTATTTATGTGACATTTAGGTAGGAAGATATTGCAAAATGTCAATCCTGACAAAAGGGAAGTACTAAAACCTTAAAACCTTTTTAATCATATCATTTTATACTCCTTGATTTATTTAATAAATTACCAAAGAGCATTTCATCACTATATTTCATCAGTTTCGTCCTTTTTGCTGTTTGATTCGAAATTATTTTCGGTAATTGCTACTATGCGTAAAAAAATATAAATACGTACAAATTATATGCTCATGTATAAAATTTCTTCACTTTTGATTTGTTGACATTGTATTTTACGATAAAACTATAATAAATAGGTAGTTACAAATTTACTTTTTCTACTCGTTTTTATTTTCAGCGTCGGTAAAACAGTCGGAATAGTAGCGGAATAGTTTTATCATGCGATCACTAGAAGTCGCTGTATTATATAATATTTTGTATAATTGTGTAACGTGCGTGTAGCTGTAGCTTTAGTTCGCTTCGGTATGGTATGGTATGTACGCGATCGCGACTGACAGCTGTTGCTTATGTGTGCGTCTCACATTTTATTAAAGTCGGACTAATTTTGCCGTATGCAACGATACATACTTCATTCACTTGATTCAGTGTGAGAGCTGTTACGTTAGCAGCACTGTGTTGTTTTACTTAAGTTCATGTGTTTATATTTGAGAAAAATACGTATGTTATTTTCCCAAATGACATGTGGCGACCTATTGTAGCGTTTTCTGGTGTGACATTGACATTTATAGTGATGTAAATGTGCGGGAAATTCAAACTTTAGAAAATAATGTATTTTATCGCATACATATTTCAAAGTTATTTTGGTTGTGTTTATAGGTTGTTTAACTTTAGTGAAAGTAGGTAGTGTGAATCAAGTCGTTGATATTGCTGATTCGTGTTCATGATTATGACCTTCTTATGATTGGCACAGTACCATATATGCGACATATTTTGAAACATTTCCGCAACGACTTTTTATACCCTTGGAAGATATAATAGGTAATATGTTTATGTCGAACTTTTATTTTTATAATTTACTAATCAATAATTATAACCCGATACTAAATTTATCAGTAAAATAATTAAATAACTTATTTATTCGTGCATTGATGTCCTAAAAATCCTAAACTTCCCTTCCTGTTGTAGAAATTCGTTTAAAAAAATTCTGTTTATTGGACTGTTTCTTAAAAAATGTCACCAAAATCTTTTTGTAACTAAGTACTGTCGTTGAAATTGTCGCTGGGTTTCTGTCAGTTCATCCGATTCCTACGTTGGGAATGGGAAACTGCTAGTTTGACACGCACTTCATTTAAACTAAGTGAATAAACTGCTTTAAAAGTAAATTTAAGCAGTAAACAGGCCACAGGCTGCCACGCTCAAGTGTGAACCGGCGAAATTTATAACCTCGTACATTTTTAATTTCTAGACAAGTTATTTTCTTTATGTTTTCCTGTATCAGGAAAACATATTCTGTATCAGGAAAACGTATCCTGTATCTCCAAGCTAGTTTACTACTACCTGTACATTATTACTTAGAAGAGTTTTAGAAGGCTAAGTAGTTAGAAAAAATCTAGAATAGAATTTTTTTTCAAGATATCAATAATGATGGTGATTACGATTCTACTCTCTGGAGTTTCGTTCGTCAATTGGCAAAATGTAGCGTCGGTGAGCATATTCGCAAAGTTGGTATATGTTTCCATAGCGCATCTATTTCTGATCAATAATTTTATACCTATCAATAATTTTACATCAAGTTATTAGACTTATTAGAATATGAGAATAGCCAGAAAAATCTTATTGCTTTTCTCATAGGCGGATTGTATGTCATCTCATTTAAGCCAGATATGAAATAATATAGTCACCCAAGGCAAGTGTGACAGTGTAACAAATGCAAATTGTGCGGCATAAACACGATTGTTTGATTAAATTCCATCTATTCAACAACGCAAGAACTTTTACGCTATTGACTAAAGTCGTATTTTTAATTAAACGAAGCTGCTTGACGTTTATTGGGTTCTCAGGTTTTGATGAATCAAAAATAGTGTTGTTTTAAATGACTGAACGGAAAACAAAATGACTGACTGATAAAAAAACGACTGAATGGTAAAAATTTTTTTAACTGAAAGTTTTAAAAATTATGTCAAGATTTATTTAAGGTACATCGAAACAATAATAAAGCGGTAAAGCGAAATTTATCCATAGTTTATGTCGTCATAGTGATTTCATAAAAAAAACTATACTTAAGTATTACATTTTTTTATTCATCGTCATCAGATATAATATCATCACTCACTGTCAGTTACATTTATTATAAACTTGTCTGAGACACTATCGATCATGTGGTCGAGATTAAACATTTTGTCTTCTTCTTTTATTATGTGAGCCACGCAGCTACTCCATTTTTCGGCAGTCACTTCATTTAGTCCTTCTTCGAAAAGTTTTTTTACATCTTTCATTTTGAAGGTCTTGTTGTTTCTTGCAACATACCGCGCCCAAATCAGCTCAATGGGATTGAGCTCACAATGGTAAGGGGGCATACGTAAAACAGTGACTCCACGCTCCGCTGCCATCTCGTCCACGGCATACTTGCCGCAGTGTTCATGTTTGTGCTGCCGTACAATGTCTATAAGTGTAGCTTTTACCATTTGTGCCTCGAATAGGATATTTTAGCTAGCCATCCACTCTTGTATTCTTGGTTTATTCTAAGACGTTGTAGGCAGCGATTCTAATTTTCTGGAGTTATAGGGGTCATTATCCATCACCCATATGGAATTAGGTTTTAGTTTGGGCAAATCCACTAAACCACTCCTCAAAACACTCAGCATTCATCTCTTGATGCTAATCTTCTTTTCCTTTTTTAGCCTCAAACACAAGTAAGCTATCTTCTATAAATCCTTCTTCCCTGCCTATATGGCTAATAATTAGCCGTTTGCCTTTTTCTGAAGCCCCTTTCAAGCCGGTGGTCAACCCTTCTAAGAATGCCTGCCGGGACGATTGTACGGTCTGGTCAATCCATTGCTTTTTCGGTGTATGACTTTCGAGAAAATAAAAAATAGCAATTACTCATTAAGTTCATCGGTAGCATGCAATACCTGCACTGTAATAGATAAATAAAAAAGAGAAAATTTTAATTACCTTCGTTGATCCAGGTTTCATCTTGGTAATAAATGTACCTTCCTTCCCTGCGATAATTATAAAGTTTTGAAGGTATCGCTGGCGCCACAAAACAATATCGCGTCTATCTATTAGCACGCTATTTCTTGATTTTGTGGCGTATTTGAAATTAAAGTATTTTAAAGTTTTCCTCAAGGTACTCCAAGAAGAGTTCGGTAAATCTGGGTCATCATTAACAACCTTAAGAATCTGTAATTTAAACCGATTATGGGTAAGAAAGTCTACGCAATAGAAAAAAGTCAAATAGAACCTCAAAAGAAACGCTATGTGTGCGTGAGCGTGTAAATATGCAGCTTTGATTTGTGTGATAGTGACGCGACAGTCGTCGTACCGCACACTGTATCTATAACCATCTTTACGCACACATAGCGCCGCGCGCAAAGATGTAAAAAAATAACACTAAAGTTACCTTTGAAATGGTGGGTGCCTCATTTGTACAAAAAAATTGGTGTACTTTTCGCCTTATAGCCGCTAAGGTGAAATCGTCTAATTTATTGTTGAAATTATGTTTCGGTCCAAGTTTTTCAGGAGACTTAAATTGCTCGTTTTGTTTGTATTCTTTTAATACACTGAACACTGTAGTCATACCGATTCCCAAATTTTCAGCTGTCTTATGCCCAAATACTCAAACGCTGCTCAGTTTTAAGATGTCGTTAAGTCTAGTGCTGTCACTATTACTTCAAATCAAAGTGAATAAGACACCACGAGACTTAACGACCTTTTAAAATTGAGTAGCGTTTAAGTATTTGGCCATTAGAAACACATATTTTTTTTGGTACTTCAATAGGTAATACCGAAGCAGTTTCCTGCTCAAATACATATTTGTAGACATTGCGTATCATAAGCTTTTCGATAACGCTAAGAGAAGCCCGTGGTCTCTTCTTCTTTGGAGAAAAAGAGCTTTTACTCGACGTGCTTGGTTGATATAAAACACAATAAGTCAACAATAACAAACAACACAAACACAACGTAACAAAAAACTTAACAAGAAACTAAAGAAAAGCAACAGAAGAACAGCGCGCAGAGAAAATATTCGAGCAATCAGACCAGAGGTTAGAAGCCGAATGAATGACAAGACAAATGACACACAAAATGGCGACCGACACGGCGGGCGCAGGGTGCGTTCCGAAAGTTAGAGCGCCCCCTCGAGTCACAATAGTACTAAATGATTATTCTTACTAACAATAATTTTTCTGTTTATTTGAATTATATAATATTTGTGAACAAGTTTCACAACGTCAGTCAAGATAGGTTAATTTAATTTTAGTCATAATCATCAAGTCATCGTATACTAACTGACTGACTGAACGCATCACTATTACAATGGACCTGGCAATATTATTTTACAAAGTGACATTAGCGTCTGTCAGGCAGCTTCGTTTAATTAAAAATACGATTTTAGGTATACCGACAGTTAAGAATATAGCTTCAAGCATTGACCTCTATATATGGACTGGCTATACAACGTGACATAATGAGGTGATTTGATTTTCGCCATTTTGGCGCTCACAGCAGTAGTGAACGTCCAAGGAACTAATAATAGAGATAAGATAGTGTGGCAAAACATATTGATCAGAATTCCATACCCAGGCCTACCCGTAAAGTCCATTCTATTTAATAATAATGTCCTCCAGACCGAATTTCGGTCACGGCGGCCAGCCTCAACGGAGACAAGCCATCGGCGCAGGACAGGATAATAGTACCAAGAAGTGTATGTGCAAGCACAGGTGCACTCTCTATTCCCTCACTCTTATCTTATAGTTCGATGGGACGGTAAACCGAAATGATCGGAGAGAGATCAGG